CGTGTACTATTGAGTTATGGATGCACTTGGGAGGTTTGCTATGCACTCAAGAAGCTAGAGTCGCACTCGACTATCGCCTCGTGCGACTCTTACGCTTCTTCCGTGCTTAGCAACCTCCCGCGTGCATCCATAACTCAATAGTACACGCTATGGCGTTCACCATTTGTTAAATGGAAATGAACTGAATTGTCACTACATTTTAACACTGTTACCTCTGTAAGGATCTTACTTCACTCACTTGTTGTTTAGAGTTTCCTTCTCCTTTCGTTTCTCTTTCCTTTTTTCTGTTTTATTCTGTAAATATCTCTCCCATGGTGTCATCTGTGGTCTCTCTTTCTCTTTTAGCTTACTGGTCACCAGTTCTTGTGTAGTTTCTTGAAGGCCTGGTTCCCAAGTAATCTCCAACTCCTGATCTCTGTCTGACTTGCACTCTTTGTCTTCAATCTCCTTTAAGAGTCCCTGTTACCATGATGATAAGTAATTTTCCAACATAAATTTAAGGAAGTGCTCCCCCTTCCCCACAAATTGAGTCACCAAGCCCCAATGTCTGTATGCCCCATGATGGATTGACTGAGATCACCTACCAACTATCAGACAATTGTAAAGCCACTAAATTTTTTCTAGTTAGTTGTGACTATGTGACTACAATAGAGGGCTACATGACTACATTTGGAGTAAGGTGACCCAGCTTGCAAAGGGACCTGGAACAAAGCAGTGTGACAAGGGGAGTGCTGTGACTAGCAGTTATGTGAAAACAGAGGAATCACATGGATCCTTGAACCTCCATAAGCTCCACTTCCTCCCCCTCCTCACTCTATAATGTTCAGGCCCAAGCATCTTTAAGTACAACTAGCAAAAACCTTTCAGAAAAGACTCAAGCTAAAAGTTTCAAGTAGTTGCTGTACCTTGTACTTTTCAATTTTCTTGTCCTCGTCATCAGACAAGTCATAATTACCATTCTCATTTCCTTCTGGTTCATCTTCATCTGAGGAGGATGCCAGATAGGCATTAAAATCCATTTCAAGTATATCTTCTTTGGTGAATTTCCTCATGGTCGTTCTTTGTCGTCCAAGATCAGTTTCATCCCATGTTAATTTGACATTTGTTTGATGAAGAGCTGTTGTGCAAAACCTGAAAAAAGACAGAGAATATAAATGCTAGACTGAAAATAATTCAATAAAACACAAGCTCGGGATGAAGGTTTTCTGAAACACACATTCAATCCCTGAGTCTTAAACTTACTCTGGTGCAGTATACATGCCCACAGCTGGTAGTTCTGTGGCTACGGAGTGGGGTTCCTGATCAAACTCCATATCTTCAGGGATGTACCTCAAGTCGAGTAAATTTCCACTCAGCTCAAATTCTGTTCCATCACATTCGTCATAGAGGACTTCTGCAGTCTCTGAACACAAAATTATATCCTTATGGAAAATTGGCATCATGTGCAGTTTTGAGCACAAACATTTGTATGTATTTTACAACTCAACACAATAAAGTTTTTTATTATCCTATTGTGCTTCGTAGAGTACAAATAGCGCGCGAGACGAGTACAAATATCACGCGATATTTGTACTCCAGAAATATCCACGAAATTCGCCAGCACTGAAATAACAATTTGGCGTGTTGGATAATAAATCTCTTAATTAGACATTTTGTTGTGTAGTATCACTGAGTATTTTTACTCGTTGTTTGTATCTTGACTCACCCTACAACTCGTACAAATACTCAGCTATACTACATAACAAATTGTCTAATAAGATAAATTTATTGAGACTTGAAAACTCTGATGGGTCTAGAGCATAAAGTCAATATACCATAGCGTGTGAAGTTGACATGAAAACCCAATATCTATGGCATATCCATGGTTATCATAACAAGTTAAAAGTCTGGTTAGTTTCCATGCCCCTCGTCCCTGAAGTGTTCTCAAACTTTTGAAATTAAGAGAGATGTATTCTTTACCAGATTCTTTAAAAAATGTCTAATAAGACAATTATTAAATTTGGTTTTTGCATGATATCACAAATTATCAAACCTCATGTCTCTGTTATTTGCCTTAGCCTTTGGCTTCAGTAGATAACTCAGACCTTGGAAGCAATAATTGATGATATCATGCTCAACTTCATCCAATAACTGCTTATTATTACGAAACAGATTTGTGTTACATGTACG